TCTCCTGTTATCTGAGAAATTATTTCTGATTTCATTTTTTCCAGATCCTTTTTTGTTGCCAGTTCAGTGGGTTCAGGTGGTTGAGTATCAGAGTGTTCTATCTCATTTCCCTTTGGGGTTGCTGTAGGTGATCTGGAAGTCTAGTTTTGAGACTTAATTTACGTGTTTTCTCATTTCAACTGGGGTGGAGGCTGTTGGCGCCTGCCCGGTGCTGGGAGAGGTGGGACAAGGGCTGGGTGTAGTGTTAGGGATTATGGTCCAAAAGCCCTTTCCTGTGGGCTGGGACCAGCGGGAGGTATGGTGGCCAGGACGCCCCTTCCTCTGGTCCAGGAACAGTGGGATGGTGGCTCAGGAGCCCCTACCTCTGGGCCAGGAGCGGTGGGAGGGATGGTGGCCCAGAAGGCCCTTCCTCTGGGCCAGGAGCGGCGAGACAGAAGGTGGCCCAAAAGCCCTATCCTCTGGGCTGGGAGCAGCGGGAGGGCTGGTGGTCGGGAAGCCCCTTCCTCTGGACCAGGAGCAGTGGGATGGCAGCTCAGAAGCCCCTACCTTTGGGCCGGGAGCAGCAGAACTCAGTACCGTGGTCTGGTGGTCAGGTGTCCTCTGCATCTTTGTCATGTCGAACCAGGTGTCTGTACAGAGGAGCGGGGGTGGGGGTCCAGTGGATTGTTGCTGGGGCACGGGCTGATTCTACGTGTTCTGTGAGACTTGGGACCTTGGTAGGGTGTGCGCAGACCTGCCTGTCTGCAGCAGGCTGATTTGGCGTGTTCTGTGAGACTTGGGACCTTGGTAGGGTGTGCGCAGACCTGCCTGTCTGCAGCAGGCTGATTTGGCGTGTTCTGTGAGACTTGGGACCTTGGTAGGGTGTGCGCAGACCTGCCTGTCTGCAGCAGGCTGATTCGATGTCTCACTTTTCTAAATCCTTTCACAGTCTTCTTTGTTCAACATGAAGTTTTAAAACTGATGTATTTAATGATCTTTTCTTGGCCATTCTCTAACCCAGCTTTCTTTCTACTGCTCCCCTTCTGTGCCCTGATGCCCTTTCTTCCTCCTTACACTCATTGGTGCAACTCTATGACGATAAAATAACACATATTACAACAGATCTCTGTCATAATTCATTTAAAAATAAAAGGTGCTAATTAATATCTTCTAGGGAAAATTCTGACTATATTTATAGTTATAAACCCAAAATTTAAAAAGATTATAATTTAACATGACCAATATGTCTAAAATTACAGTCTGATTTAATGTGTTTTGTTTCACACATGGCTTTGTCTGTCTGCCTGCCAGTCTATGTTTTTAATAATTGGCTAAAGTGTCTGCAGCTGCTCCATTAAAAAAATATTTTGAGCTCATTATAAATTTCTTTTTGATCTTTTGCCCTTATAGACTTCTGGCTTTCAGTTAAATAATTATAGAATAAAAACTACTAGGCTCAAAGTTTACATAAAATTTGCAAGTAACATTATTGGTAACATAAAAGTTATATAATTTCAGTTAATATATGTTTCTGGGTTAACTTTTGGTTTAAAAACAAGTTCAGGGCTGGGGATTTAGCTCAGTGGTGCCACTACCTGCCACGCAAGTACAAGGTCCTGAGTTTGATCCCCTGTACCAAAATAAATAAATAAATAAATAAATAAATAAATAAAATTAAAAAAATAAAAACAAGTTCATTTAAGTTGATTAGTAGAATGAAAGTAAGAATGTCTTTAAAATTGCTAACATATATTTTGCTTAGGTTATTAACCAATCAGGATATTTATCTTTGTTGAAAATTTAACATACAATATCCGTTGCTTATGATATTTCAAATTCAAAAACTTTTAGGTTATTTTCCCTTTGGCTAAACATTATATATAGCTTAAAATGTTAACTATACTAGTCTAGTATCTTGAATTTCATAAATAATCTAAAGTAATTCTTAAAATGACTAAGTAAATAACTGGAATTAGTGCTTATAAGTATTTATAACAACATCTGAGTCATCAGTTACTAAATTCAAGTGTTCTTGACTTAAGTTAAAAAAAGAACATGTTTGGTTCTATTCAATGTCTTTTTCTGCAAGTTATTAATATATATGTGTTTAAGATTGCTTTTTTACATTTACTGAGTTAAAATTCTAAATAAAAATATGCATATAAATTTTCCCTTAAGTGAGGGCCCCTGAGTCCTTGAGACTTTAGGATAAAGCTCCCAACATGGCTGAAAAACAGCTTTCTGAACTAATTTGCTTCAGTTTTCTCCATAATGGGTGAATTGTTCTCCCAGGGTCCCACCCCAGCAAATGTCATTAAAAAATTATCGCACATAAGAAAGTTGAGTAAAATTAAAAAGTTAAGCCATGTTCTATGTCTAAAGCAATAAAATTTTCTTTCTTTTTTTTGATGCATAAAAACAGAAATATCAACTTTACTTTATATTTGAGAGCAAAGATGACAAAAATAATGAATTTTTGTCTTTCTAAAATGAACTGTTAGGCTTGGATGACTAGAACAGTCTCCTCCACTCTGGAAGTTGTGCATTCATCTCAACAGGAAAGCAATGCTTTGGCTTCCTTTTCCTCTTCATCAACATCTTCCTCTTCCGTTGTTCTTCTTCTATTGTTGTTAACACTTCAGTACTGTCCTCCAGTTTCTTTTTCTCCTTCTTTAGATTCTTCAACATTGTGTCATTCCTCATTCACAAAGGATTGACAAATTGGCTCCTCTCCCAAACACTGCAGCAGCAGTAAAGGAGCATCGATCCCAGGAAAAACAGGCTGAATACACTAAGTCCAAATATCCGCGCCACCTGTGTAGACTCATCTCTTAATGGGACAAAACAGTTCCTGGTCAGAGATGTTGAAAAACAGCCTTTGGATTTCGAACATGCAGCCTCAGTAAGGTTTAGCAGCTCATTGCAAGGTGTTACCTCTTGGATCTCCTTTATCATGCAGGTTGTTGGAAAGAAAAAGTTGAACAGAACTTCCTGAGTGGATGTGTTTTCCAGAGGCTGGTCACTGACTTCGCTGTTCTGCAGGTTAACTTCATTCAGAGACACGGATTCTGACAACCGCTTCTTTCTCGCTACTTCAAAGAACCTATTTTTAGTCTTCTTTGTAGAATTTCCTCCAAACTTAAAGCAGCTGAGCAGCGACAGCACCCAGGTGAACAGTATGAATATCGGAAAGACCCGGAAAGCCCACATCTTGCCCGCAGAGTGACGCCGGGCTGCTCACTGTCCTCTCGTGGCTGACCTTCTTTCTCAGTGACTCATGGTTGCCATGGTACCCTGGAACACAAGAGGCCGATTCTCCACACCTTCCTTTGCTTCAGAAACCATCACTCTGCGGCACACCCTCCTCACTACCCGTTGTTTCAGCCTATGTTATCTTTATTTTACCCAAAGGCATGGCTCTGGGTTGCAGTTTGGCCTAGCTGCTGCCTCCCTGACTAACCGAAGATACAGATCAAAATTTTCTTAACACATTAAAATGCTGTTGGTTAAACTTACAAAAACTAGACTTAATAACTTACAAAAACTAGAGTACACAAGACTAAAGACAAAGGATTTTGTGTTTTATCAATATAATTTCTTGTACAGATTCTGCTAAAAAATGTATACATCAGGAAAACTAAAACTTGTATAAATATTTTAATACCAAATTTATTGAGACCTCATGAGATTAATGCAAGTTACCTTTGGCCTCTACAATTACAAGAGGTGATCAAAGTGGTGGCCATTAGCTTCCAGAAATTTATTAGTACAGCAAACTGCAGAAGTTTTTTTTTTTTTTTTAAGTTTTAATACATCTTTTTGGTGAACTCCCTATCTGTCTATCTGAGGATAAAATATGCTGCTAGTCTAAACTTCATCTAATGTTAAAAAGTTTATAGAGTTAAAAATTACACAAGTTTAATGCATATAAAGTAACCAGTAGGTACTGTGTTTTATACATTACAACTGGACTTTGGTACAATTAAGTCCCGTCTTTTAAAACTTGATCTATATCAATTGGCTTTGACTAAACAAGCATTTTGTTATAATAATGTCATCATAATTCTTATCCTAAAATGCTATGTTTTCTCTGGCTATTTTTTTAGGATATTTTCTTTTTTTAATTAGTGCATGTTTGTAGTACATAATATTTACATTCTTTGTGGAGAATAGGTACATATATATAACACATCTTAATTCCTGTTTAAAACTCTCTTTTCCTTTCCTCCCTCTCCATCTATCTCTTTTTTTGTACATGTTATTTTATTTTTTCATTTTCCTTACGAAAATTTATAATCATCATCTGCTAACATTCTTTAGGAAAATGACTTCTAAAAGACAGCCTAAATAGTATGTTAAAATGGTAGGCTATGACCTACAGGACAGATAAAATATGCCATTAATTCCTAGTACTAATGCTAACCACAATTAATAAAAAGGTAGCTGTTCTTAATAAAAGGGTAGAAAATTTCATATTTCCAAGTGCTCTGATATCCAGATAGGATTATAATTAAGAACGACTAATTCTATTTCAAGACTAGTATAACTGATCTTCTGGTTGTACTAAGACTTGGAGAACAAAGCAAAAGAAAAAAGGGACTAAGAAGACAGCCAATAATTTGGACTTTGTCCTCCAAGGTCAGCCAGGACCAAGGCACAAGACCCCTCTGAAAGGTCACTGCAACTGGTGAATCACACAAACTCCTGACCAGGGGGATTGTGAGATCCCAGAAGACAGGAGTCAACCAATGTGCATTTTGCAGAATGGAGGGTCACTAAAGAGGGAAATTTTCCACATGCTTCAAGGGAATCCATATGGATAAGCAAAACTCTGTCTCTTCCTGACAGATAGCACAACTGGTAGGAGAAAAAACTAGGGGAGCTAAGAGGCTACTTACACAGCCCAAAAGTACCCTCTGAGGAGCTTTAACTGAACTTGACAGAGAGAGAGAAATTTTACTCAACATGGGTATTGCTTTGACTTGGTCTTAGGCACCCAGAAGGAAAGTATAACCAAAACTTTAATTAATAACAATACAGAGCTAAGCTAGATATAAAAGGGGCTAAAACCCCTATATCAGCTGTTAGTAGTGTCCACTTTATTTCTTCCAGAATCCAGAAGTTTTCAATGAAGTGTGCCTGACTGCTGCCTAGACCTGCTGTACAACTCTATTTAGAGATTCCTGTCCAATTTAAATCTCAGTCATCAGTCTAAAACAATAGGCCACTCACCCCTGACAGTCAGACTCAAGGAATCCCTAATGGATTCTCTGCTCAGCTTGAATCTGTTATGGTTATGAACATTTTATTCCTTGTCAATAATTTGACTTTGCTGATTTATCAGGAGGAAAATATAGTGGCCAGCCAACAGGAACAAAAGGCTTTAAATGCTTAATAGCCAAACTACAGTTAAGGCATCAAGGGATTCTAGTTAAAGACATCCTATTCAGTAGGTAGTCACAAGACAACAACAAAACTTTTGATGTAAGGCCCATTCATCCCTCCTAAAGAATCCCAACCCATCTTCTCTAAAAGGTATGTATATATCTCCTTATTGACTTCTTATCTTGTGGGGGGCCTTGCCCCCCCCCCCCCGCTAGAACTCTTGAGTGCCTTTTACGGGCATGTCTGGGCCTGCTGCAA